ATGAAGAAGACCCAGGCCAGGATTCGTGTGAGCTTGCCTACGTGCGCGGTTGGCAGAAAACGCATGAACCTTTGTATATACCAGTATATGTGCAGTCAGTTTGTGTTCGCTCCAGGACCTTGCGACATGGAGTTACTTGCGGATGCAGCAAATGCAGGTGCAGTGTGTTCTTTTGAGGGTCCAGTGAGCAAGCTACTTATTTCTGATCAGGCAATGAAGAAGAGACCAGTGCCATCGACAACGCTGAGTTGGACGAGCAGGAGGCGTCTATATACGATGTCTCATATTCTGATATTCCATCTCAACGTCTTGTATTGTGTCCCTCATGATCAGGTGGAAGGTTGGCTATCTGCAGACAGCGACAGCGATGCTTCGGATGAAGATGACGATTTGTCAGATGCAGATGCGAATTCAGATGCAGACGGGCCAGGATTGCGCATGCGTGTACAGAAATCTCGCCCCGAGTATGCCGAGCTGGCTGGTTTAGGCCTTGTTACGCGTCCCACGGGATGCTCATTGGGGGTACATGAAGGCCTGCAAAGCTGGCGTTCCATGGCGCCTGGATCACCTCACTATTGCAGAACATGGGGCGGAACGACTGGTCGCTCTCCCCGCCAGGCCTTGCTCCGTGTAGTTGTTCTCATGTTGCAATTTTATTGCAGCGTCAATGGGGACGATAAGTTGGCCGCGAGACAGCTCCGGCGCGCAGAGGCCGAATGGGCTAAGCAGCCTGGACTCTTGTGAGTTTTTTTACGAGTTGGGATGACTTGGGGAAAACATCTTTGCATCATATTCCATGTGTGTGTGCGCAAGGGTGTATGCCATAGACATGCAGCGAGTCGGTGACGTTGTATATACTGCATTCGTGGCTCCAGCAGCAGCTTGAGGCAGCATTCAGTCTGCGCATGTCAGTTTGCATATGTCAGCTTCTTTAAGAGAGAGCACGGACCTCCATTCCACTATATAGATTTACGATGGCAAAGACAGCCTTGTGTTGCTGTAGCAGGATTCCCAGAATGCTCTGGGAGAGGTTGCTGATGCTTATGGTGCTTATGCTTCTCTCTCTCTCTCTCTCTCTCTCTCTCTCTGTGTCTGGCGTGTAACGAAACATGCGCCGTAATGGTGCCGAAGACACATGTGCGGACAGAAGACAGAATAAAATCTATATATACAGAGAGAAAGCACAAAGAGGGAGGGAGACTGCGCCGTCACGGCACACGGGTAGTCTTTTGTAGTTTGAATCGTCTGCACAATCACTGCACACTTGTCGTCTGTCGTTGCCCTGCGCCATCACGGCACATCATCTTTCGGTTTCTAACACAATGCTATTACTCAAACTTATTCCAACTGTTCTTTTTGCGCCATCACGGCACATGTGTCGTCTGCGTTGGTCGTCTGCGCCTATTTCGGCACTGTTCATTTCTTTCGGATCCTAACACAATGCTCTTGTCCAGACTTCTCCCTATTGCTGTGTCTATGCAGTTGCTTCAAGGCCCGCCTTATTTGTGTGTTCATGGTATATACTGGATATAATACTGTCACAGTTATGCCCATATTCCAAGTGTATACCGCGACAGCAGGGGGTTCAAGCTGCCGGACACACACACACACACACGCGCGCGCGCGCGCGCACTACGCACTACACTTGTGCCGCAACGGCGCACACAACGAAGTCCACATCAGACGACGAATGTGCCGCGAGGGCGCAGAGATAGGACACATAGATAAGGGAATAGCTCAACCCCCCACACCACAATCAGTCCAGTGGCCACCGTTCCGTAACCGGTGTAATTAAACTTGAATTGCAGCCGAACCTATAAAGACAACCAAATAGCTAAACAAAAAGTTCAAGTTTAGGGATACGTTTTCGTAGATGAGACTTTTATTGAGGGGGTCGATGTTTCCCTGCCTCAATCATGGGTCGATGAAACAGCTGAGATTTCTTCGCACCAGGCTATATATGTGTTTACATAGTCATGCATTGCTATATGTGTTTTTATGCATATATTTTTGCATATGTGTATTCAATATTCCAAGAGGGTCGTTTAGAATATCCGAATTAAAATAAAAAGGTTTTGAAAATCATCAAAAACTTATTCCAAGTCATTTCCTTTTTTTTTCCCTATTCCATCTGCTAGCCCGCGAGTATACAGGGTTTTCAAGAAGGAAATGTCCACCCCTAGCGAGCTGACGGTGAATCTGCTTGGCACAGAAACGGACGTGCTGACGACTCACTCTCAGCAGGTGGGCTCTCTCCAAAGGAGTCCTGCGACGCATGTTGAGATGATCCCAGTCAGTCACAGGAATGCACGGGGGTGACGCAGTAAGCAACTCTGGCCTAGCTTCCTCTAGCAACTGTTCTACTTCGTGCTGTGCCTCGGGATCTGCTAAGTCGCAACCCTGTTTATTCTCAAAGGCTAACCCTGTCGCTCCGTGTGCCTGTGCCTCCCGCGTCAAAGACGGAGGCGAAAAGAGCTCTGCCACAGCAACCTGTGCGGATTGGCTTGCATCCAGGTGTTTGAGTTGGGCCAAGAGACACTTCGCATGCTTGTTCTTAAGGGCTTTCTTTGACTTAGGGTGCCTAGGAACCCTAGAAACAGAGTTGGGGTGAGGCTCAGGAGGCGGCACGCATCGAGAAAGCTGCTCGTGACACACACTGTCTTGACACACCTGTGTTGCTTGTGCCTGTGCTTGCAAGACTGAGGCCTGCGATGCACCCTTCGGAAAGTCGAGGACATTGATGAGAAGCTGGCCAGCCTCGTTCACCTGCATGGGGATGGTGGTCTGGTCACGCAAGAACCTCATCGTCTTTTCTGCGAAGTCCAGCGAGACCCGAAGCTTCTCCAGGGTAGGTCGTCCCAAGAGCAAGGGGGCCCGCCCTTTGATGATGGCAGCGTCAATGATGCCATGCACGCCACCGATTCCCACAGGGATCTTGACGGCCTGCTCGGAAACCTCTGTAGCGCCGTTCCCGAAGCGGAAGGAGCTAAGAGCGTCGTAGTGCTCTGCCTTCTTTGTTGTGACCAGCGCCAGCTTGTTCTTTAGCTGCTCAAGGGTGTCCATGCCGATGAGCGTCCGGCCACATCCGCTGTCCACCACCCCATAGCCGGGCGATGAGACAAGCCCTGCAGCTAGCACCTGCATCTCTGCCTGCTGGCAGGTCATGCCAGACGCCGGCTCTGCTTGGGCCATGCCAATGAACATCACCTCGGGGATGTCCACGGACTTGACGGCGTCAACCTGGGCGAGCGAGACCTCCTGCTCGACCAGCTGCGCTTCGACGGCACCTGTTGTCGAAGAAGGCGTCGGTCTCGAAGCTGAAGATCCCGAACTCCGGCACTCTCTGGCCCAGTGCCCCACTCTTCCGCACTTCCTGCATCGAGTGCGTCGCTTGAGTTCTTCGATCTCGACACGGAAAGACTTCTTGCTGTTCTGGGCCACCCTCGCAGTCCACTGTTGGACCGTCTCGCCTTCCTTAGCGCCAGACCAAACACTTCACCGAGTGCTTCTCCCATCTGATCGTGGGCCTCCTTCTCAGGAAGCCTCTCCAGCAGGATCTTGAAGATCTTGTCTGCTCCGTCGTCCACTTGGATACTGCTCAGCTCCAAGTGTTCTACTGCTTCTAGCGCCTTCCCATCCAAGAGCGTGTAGAGGAAGGGTCCTTGCTGCTTGGTCGTCAGCCTTTCCATGGTGTACATTTTTGCTTGCACCCATTGGCGCCACTTGCGCAGCTGACGGCCGGGATCGTCGTCTTCTCCACTGAATCGCTTCAGTGCACGGTCGTCTGTCCCCGACATGGCTGGAGTCTACTATTGTACAGCAATCCCACTTTGGGATGAACTGTAGACTACCTTCCGAGGAAGCCCGAAGCCAGTCTAGCACCGGCCCCGCTACCAATTACAAAGATAATGCTGCCCAGCCTTGGGCATCAAAGCGGCCCTTTCCCCAAGCCGAAAGGTCCTCTGCGGGTGACGTTCCTGGCGAGAGAGCGGAGTCTACTATTGACAGGGTTTAGGGTTCTGGCCTATCAAGTCTGTATAAAAAAGGGTTCTGGCCTGCTGCAAACAGTAGCAAGGTTCTGGGGTTCAAGGTTTAGCGGTGCAGAACAGGGATGGGGGCTGAGGGTGAAGATTAGGGTTTCCTCTCTCAGGTGGCGCTGTTTCTCGTACTCGGGTGTCGAAACTGTCGTATGGATACTCACAGCTATATAGTCGTTCAGATGCCGCTGCTGATGATGATGATGATGATGATGATGATGATGATGCCGATGATGGCGGATGTTGAGGACGGCGATGAGTCTCGCCCGGGTCTGGCGATCATGGTGATGGCAACTTAAGACATTAGGCTTGTTGATAAAACTGTCATTCGGCCAAACTTTCGTTTTTTCAAAGGGTTCAAGGCTTTGCAATGAGGTTCAGGGTTGTTTAAGTCTGTGGGGTGGGGGGGTTTGCCATGGGGTATGGGGCTCTTGTAAAGCAGGCTTGATTTAATTAGTTGGGTTTCTAAGCATGACTGCGGATTACCGCCAGTAAACACTGTCATTATGTTGTGTCGGTCGTTTTATCCCTATGTTACTCGTACTAATGCAGTCGCGTTAGTGTTATTGCTTTCGTGCTCTGACTGTCGTTCTTCCGGACGCTCCTGTCTGCAGGAAGCCCAAAGCCAAGCCCTAAACTCATAACCCTGCTAACCCGCCTACCCTACACCTCGCTAAGGCACGCAAGCCCCACACCCTAAACTCTCGAAGGCCGAAACCGAAAAAGCTCGAACAAAAAACCACACCGGACCCGAGGAAGAAATCGTTTACCGTTGCATCGTGTCGACCTGCAAGGCGGGCCTGAGGATGTCTGCAAGCAGCTTGCCGTCAACACGGAAGTTAGATGCCAGTTTTAGTCGGAGCTAGCCTGGCTAATCGGGGTGTAAGTGCAGAAGCCTCTCTTCAACCGGCAGTGTCTTTGCTCGAAGCTCCACACTGCCTTGACCGCGAACGTACTGCAGCCATGATTGAAGTGGATGTCGGATCTCCTCTGGCCGAAGCCAAGATGTCCGTCTCAGAGGTGGAAGTTCACCAGGCACAGAAGGCGTGGTCAGATGCCATCGTGGGCATCTCCAAGGTGTACCTGGAGAAGGGCGACTA